AGGTGCAGGGGGTGTAGGTGCAAGTAGGTTCATGGGGTCTTGGGTGTAGGTGCAGGTGGGTTTGGGGGTCAGGTCTGGGAGTGTGGGGTTCAGGTGGGTTCAGCTGTATGGGGGTGTAGGTGCAGGTGGGTTTTGGGGGCCCTGGGGCACTAGTGCATCAGAGAGGCAGGAGCAGAAGCCTTGATGCCTCCAACCTTGCGGGGAATCTGAGAACCATCAGGCAGAGGGGCTTAGGAGCCGGGACCCCCCAGTCAGTGCACTTTGGGGTACTCAGCTCTAACTGAACAGGAACCAGCCACGCCCTGGCCCTGCACCCTCCGGGCCCCATCTTTCCCCCTACTCTCTCAAGTCCACTGTTGAAAGCCCCTGGGAACATGGTCGGCCACAAAGGTTAACGGAGTCACAGGAGGAGACAGGCGCTCAGCACACGCAGTCACGGCCAGCGGTGCCCTGCTGGTTCCCTGAGGCCTCCCTTGGGCGCCCAGCCACACTCCCGCACTCCCGTCTCGCCCACTCCCTGCAGCCCCTGCCTGAATGGCTCAGGAACCTCCATGAACCTCCGTGACCCAGCGTTCACTCAGCTTCCCGTTTCGTGGGAGTCCTGCGCATGTGCACGTAACTAAAATGGGTTTTCTCCTGTTGACCTGGGTGATGTCAAAGGCAGCTCGCACAGCCGACTCCTGGCCCTCCTGGTGCACGGGCAGCTCTCGCTGTGCTCTGGGGCGCTCACAGTAGGAGAGACGCACCCCCTGCTCCAGTCAGGCCCATCACTGCAGACGCACCCTTGCAGGGGGGCACCGATCAGAAACCGCTCTGCCCTAAGCGACAGCCAGCAAGGCAAAGCCGGCACAACCGCACGCGAGTCCTCACGACACTCCACCCCGACTATTCTGCGCTATCACAGCTCTGATCGGTGTCCCCAGCACGCATCAAAGAGAAGCAGGAAAAGAGGCAGGGTGGGAGAAGGGATGGTGCGCACTCACAGAGCCCTCCCGGGGTCCTGGGTTCAGATCTACAGCCATGAATTAGAAGCAGTAACTCCGCCACCATAGAGGAGGACACGGGTGCAGGTGCAGTCAATGCCCACAGCCCACTGGCCAAGCAGGACACAGCCGGGCCCCGGGCTCGGCAGTCTGAGCCCTGATCCCCGAGGCCCCGGGCTCGGCAGTCTGAGCCCTGATCCCCGAGGCCCCGGGCTCGGCAGTCTGAGCCCTGATCCCCGAGGCCCCGGGCTCGGCAGTCTGAGCCCTGATCCCCGAGGCCCCGGGCTCGGCAGTCTGAGCCCTGATCCCCGAGGCCCCAGGCTCAGTAGTCTGAGTTGTGCCCCACAAGTGTGCAGGAAAGGGACCTGCTGATCAGGGAGAAGAGAATTCTCTTCTTGCACTGATTTCTCACAAAACCCCCAGGACCAACACACCGCGCAGGAGGTACCCGCTCCCAGGACAGACGGAATCCTTAAGCAAAACCTCATGTCAGGCATTTCTCTCTCAGACACAACACACACACAACTACACAGCCACACAATTATGCACAGTCCCACACAGTCTGCCACCTCTGTGTCCACGGGCTCTGCACCTGCAAACTCAACCAGTGCAGGCCAAAAATACCTGAAGAACAAGCACCTTTACTGAACGTGCAGACGTTTCCTTGTTATTCCCTACACGACACAGCGTAACAGCCGCTTACACGACACAGCGTAACACTCACACAACACAGCGTAACAGACACAAGACACAGCGCAACAGACACATGACACAGCGTGACACTCACATGACACAGCGTAACAGACACAAGACACAGCCTAACAGCCGCTTACATGACACAGCGTAACAGACACTCACATGACACAGCGTAACAGACACAAGACACAGCATAACAGACACAAGACACAGCCTAGCAGCCGCTTACACGACACAGCCTAACACTTACATGACACAGCGCAACAGACACATGACACAGCGTAACAGACACAAGACACAGCGTAACAGACACA